CAAGGAGCAGTCAACATTGCCCCTAATATTATTCGAGATCTGTTAGCATGTCGAAAGGACATAAGTAGCAGTATTTATGTGTAAAGATAGATAACACTTCCCGAACAAGACGAATGAACTTGTTCACCATTAAGGAACCGTAAGAAGAATACAAAACCATAGGTCTATGTTTACAATACACTGAAATATTTAGATAATATTTAAAAGATGTGTTTAATTTTTGGCATTTGCCGGATTGTTAGATTTACCTCAGAGTATAAAGAACGCCGATTGCGAAAGCCAAGATATATGTAAAACAAAGAGGTTAAATAATTCTTTTTTTAGCTAGTTACCTTTTTCCTCGCAGTCAATTTTCTAACACACATGGGTATTTGGTATTGCCACCAATCGATCTGTCCCGAATTGCTTCTGTCCATATCGGCAAATATGCGTTCTTCAATTCGAATTCGAAATTCGGGCATTTCTAATCCGACTAACTTCTGGTAACAATCTTTCTGGTAATCTAGATACTCTTCTTTGTTTATAAATGAATCTGAAAACGTATGGAAAGGAAAAAAGAGAAGAAAAAAGAAACAATTTTACTTTGTACAAAAGTTACACAAAACGTCATGGTCAGTAATAGTTTTTTACAACTAAAATAAATTAATAAAAGAAAAAAAAAAAAAGAAACTAAAAGAAAAAGATGCTAATCTATAGAGTGAAACAGTTCAGTGTAGCTTAACGGAATATGTATCATGGCAGGTACAATAGCATTCATGTAGTTAAAGAAGTTTGGCCCATGTTTTTTTAAATTGCTCTAAGCAGTTAGATCTCAAAGCTATGGTGCAAGGAATATCAATTATGTTATTGAGTAGTGAAGGAGCTGCTCGGAAGGTTTCTCCTGATTGGTCGCAGGAAACAACGACATGTCATTCTTCCAATTGTTTTAGTATTGTTTTGGGTTCAGGGAAACGCCCCATTGGTGACTTCTCTTCCGAGCAGTTGCTCATCAAGAAAATATTTTTTCAACAAACCCTGATTTGTGTCAATTCGATCAAATGTTTCCATAATGTCAATCTTTTCCGTATCGGATAACAGGTCAAATAAGTTTTCCTGCAAAACAACAACAACAACAACAAAAAAAAGCTCTGATTGATCGCTCTTTAAAAAAAAATTAACATTTAGTGAATCTTCCTCTTTGATCCGAGTCCTTTAGCCTCCTTGATTGCTTGCTAAAGAAAATTTGCAAAGAAGGCAAGTAATGCTCCTTTTAATTTCTATACACCGTATTCACAAATGGCGGACACGCGGGAAAAAACTGGTGCCTAGTCATGAAAGCGAGGCGTTGGAGGATAAACAAAAATTTCAAATGAAGACTTTCAGTGAACTTCCAGAGTGTTTAGCACGGATTCCACCTAAAATAACTTTGTACGGACTTCTTTTTAAATACAGTTACGTGGGATGTCTTCTGCTTTTAATGTTTAGTAATGACTTGCTGTTTGCAATCAAAAGGGACGCGTATATCTGCAAGGAAACAGGATGATTTTGTAGGTTTTCGAGTCGGTTTCCGAAGCATCAGAAGCTCGACAGGTGGACGATGACTGGAGAAAAGCGGCAAACATGTTGGCCCAAACTTCACATTGAAACCGAGTACGAAAGCCAGCTCACTGTAATTCGGTGAAACAGAAATATAAACAAATCTTGGTGGCAAGAAAAAAGAAATAAGCGACAGATACATGGCCTACTTGTTAACGCAAGAGACGTCTGCCGTTGAACAAAACAGTTCAAGTCGAGATGGAAAAAAGGAAGACAGGAAAGAAGAGGTGACTGAGGTTTCGATGAAGTTATGTTTGATTTTTGTTTGCCAGGACGTTATTCTCTGGTCTTTATCAACGAAGGACATCAATTATAACTATTTTTTTTATTATAAATGCAGGAGCGATCGAGTGGAGTACGCTCAAAATTTCAACTTGTTACTCGGCAGACTCGGTAAGCCAGACACATCATTTCAGCGAGTAATTTCGTATTTCTTATCGTTGGCTGTTAAGAGTTTTAACTTTATGTTCCATTATATTTTAAAGTTGAAGAATACATAAATAAATAAAATGATGGTCTTCTTAAACGGATCCAGACTCGAATTTAATTATTCGAAACAGAAGCTTGCCATGTTCAGTCCTGACACAAACATTGCCTTAAAAGTTTAACCTAGTAAAATGTAAGCTTTATACCACTTTTTTTTACCAAGAGCTCTCTGAGATAATGCCCTAAAGGAGACCAGGCAAATAGCAAGCCATAAGATTCACACACTACAGCTTCTAATTTTGATAAAATTATTTTTAATTATTTCGCAATGACAACGAAATCATGAGATTTTTGCTAAGCTCTGCCAACGTACCTCTAACAATTCGCTCCAAAGCGACGGAATTAATATGATCCAAAGGAAGTTGTAAATACAGACATACATATATACATAGATATGTATAAGATGTCACTAACATGAATGAATGAGCCTCGTGAATGAATCTTTCACCCGCTCTCAGCTTGACCTGTTTTCAGTGGCCATATATCCGTCGCTTATTTCTCTTTTTCTCGCCACCAATATCTGTTTTTATTTCTGTTTTACAGAATTGTAGTGATCTGGCTTTCGTATTCGGTTACAGTGTGAAGCTGGACCAACATGTTTGCCGCTTTTCTCAAGCCATCGCCCACTTGTCGTGTCCTGCTTCTGATGCTTCGGAAACCTACAAAATCATCCTGTTTCCTTGCAGATATACTCGTCCCTTTTGATTGCAAACAGCAAATCATTACTAAACATTAAGAGCAGAAGACATCCCACGTAACTGTATTTAAAAAGAAGTCCGTACAAAGTTATTTTAGGTGGAATCCGTGCTAAACACTCTGGAAGTTCACTGAAAGTCTTCATTTGAAATTTTTGTTTATCCTCCAACGCCTCGCTTTCATGACTAGGCACCAGTTTTTTCCCGCGTGTCCGCCATTTGTGAATACGGTGTATTGCTTTCAGTCCCAAGGTAAGGTAATGGTAAAGGCGTACACGAGCCAATGGCCTAAACAGCCGGAGCTTACCTCGGTTTGCTTAGCATGAAACATGCCTAGAAGTATTCCTTTTCCCCCTGGACGGGATGCTAGTCCATAGCAGGATAATCCCCCACCCCCTCCCCCCAAGCAGTGTGTCGCCGGCACCAATTTATACACCTGGGTGAAGAGAGACAAAATGGAATAAAGCCTTGTCTTAGAAAAAAACGCGACGGGCAAGGCTTGAACCCCAGACCCCCAGATCAGGAGTTCGAGGTTTTAACCGCTCGACCACAAATCCTCCATTTCAATCCCAAAACCAGCACTTTTTCACTTAATTGGATAACTAACGACTGACGCATGCCTCCCCCACCTCTGGTACCATTGGGAACCCCAGAAGAGCATGCTCGCAGGCTAACTTACACAAATGAAGCAGCTCCATCCAATTTCATCTGATTCAAGTTTGACTGTATCACTTGCGAGGCTATCTGAAAGGTAACCACGGCTTTCCAAACATTCTTTGTGATATATTTGTGGGCATATTCGGCAGAATATTAAAGGACTGCACTTCGTAGAGGAGGAGCGACAAATATGACAACGTGTCTCCCACTGTGGCTAAAAAAATAATAAATATCATATTGGATATTACAGTTCTGGAAGGAGCGCTGGATGACAGACTGACTTACTGACTGAATGAATGGATAAATAAATGAATGAATGATTGACTGTCTGACAACTGACTGACTGACAGACTGAGTGACTCAAGATTGACACACTGGATGATTTACTGACTGATTCACCGTTGACTGACCGTGAGAAACTATGAAGAGTTGTTATAGAATGAAAGAGCGAATGGAAAAATCGCATACAATAGTTAGCAGAGTTAGTGAGAACAACTGTTGTGAGAATATGATTCACACTCCGACTAATCGACAGCTGGTCTGTCTTACAATATCTTACTGACTGGTAAGAATACAAGAAATATCAGCGTACAAGGGAAACTGACAAAAACTTGTCGAAAGCGAAGACCCATAAGTTAACTCTCTTACTTCCGGTCACTTACCTTATACTGTTCATCATAAGGAAGAAATTCTTCGGTAGCCTTCAGCGTTTCAGCCTCTTTTGAAGCTCTTCTGATAAACCTTAGGACATCACCTAACTGTTTAAGCCGACCACTGTCTCTCCTGTGCTCATCGGCCAAGAAATCTCTTCGGTCGCGATTGGCTGATTCACGCAGAGCCGTCCAAGCAACACTTGTGTCATTTATGGACACGTGACCATGCCTGTTGTCACCTACATGGACGCTGCAGGAGAAATAATACTATATTCACATCATACTGGATAGCTTTTGCGCAGGCACGAAAACCATATCAGACAGGGCTTCTGTCCGCGCATAAAAACGGTGATATGATTTCGGTGCGAGTCCATGCATACAAAACAATGCGAAGCCCAAGTCAAAAGAAATAGTGAAAAACACGCCGTATCCGGCCTGATACAAACACAAACTTATAACACAAGTATAACACAATAAAGCCAATTCTACACTGCTTACCTTACTTCTTCAGGGAAAAGTGTGTAGTATAGTATACCGTTGTTTGGTATAATAGTTACTAAAATTTTACAAAAAGTCAATATGGAATAATTTGCATAATAAATCAAACTAAGCGAACTGTTTTTTATTGTACATACCTGCGTACAAACTTAAGAACTTCCCTGTCTGTATTGTCCAAAGTTTCTTCTTCCACTTCATAAGCTGTAGTACGTCTACCTTGATGTTGTCCAGTCCTAGTGTTTTTCCTTCCAAATTTCCATTCTATGATCTCTTCTATCTCTTTTGCCGCTGTCTTTTTCTTTTCACTTTTCACTTTTGATTTAAAAGCTCCGGCTGCTCTGACTGTGAGTAGAGTACGTTCTGCTTTGATACTG